GGCAGAACAAAGTAATTGGTTTACTTCTAAAGATTTAAGCAAATGCTTTCCTGAAGATATGATTTTTTTTCTTCCACTCAGAGTCTGTTAATTACTGCTGAGAGAAGAAGAAGAAGAAGAAGAAGAAGAAGAAGAAGAATCAGCCGTGGGTTTATTCAGTTATGATTCAGAACATTCCAGAAACCCACTGTAAACATCTGACCAGGTGACACCAATGATGCAGTTAGTGAGGAGCATGCAGCACCACGCGGCTTCAGCCTTTGATTTACCCAGAGGTGTTAGCTCAGAGCTGGGGTTAGTGTTAGCCTGGGAGCTGGAGCTGGAGCTGGAGCTGGAGGTGGAGGTGGAGGTGGAGGTGGTTGGAAGTGACGCACCCGCTGGTAGTGGGTTAGTAACCAGTGCAAAGGAAGATGTGGGAGGAGCAGCAGCAGCAGCAGCAGCAACACTGGCTCCATCATCATCATCATCAACTACAGCAGCAGCAGCGAAGCCACCACCAGAACGGTGGTTCTCCTCCTTCCTGGTGCCTCCTTCCTCCTCCTCATCCTCACCCCTGTCCGTTTCATCTTCGCGATGATCTACGGCTCTGTCCAAAACATCTGTTTGTGGTGATTGGTGAAAGAGGGAGTAAAATTAGAGAAGGAAAGATCCAGGAGTCAAGGGCGGAAGAGAAACGTGAAAAGAGAGATTTGTTAGTGTGTTAGAGAAACAGAAAAAAAGAGTTAAAGAACAGGTGAATTATGGTCTGATGGTTTTGAATCATCAGGGTTTAGGTGATAAAACTGTGCTAAGCTTGCTTGCTAACAGCAAGTTGGAGACCCTGGACGGACAGTAGATTTCTTGGATATAAAATCTGCATTTTTCTTGGTGTACGTTTTTATAAAACTCGTTTTGACAACCTGAGTAAAAACACACATTTGTTGTTACATCATAAAAAAATAAAAGGTCTGACTGAAGCCCAGTACAGCAGGGATTTCAGAGAACGGTTCCTGAAAGCATGTGTTCCATTAAGTTTCCTGAGGGGCTGCGGCGCAGCGGCGTCTCCACATTAGGAACAACAGAAGAAAAACGTGTCAAACGGAGACCTGAGCTGAGAACCCACCACGGAATAAAACAAAAACAATCAGTAAACAGCATCTGATACGGCCGGCTCGGTGGGGAGTCGGGCCAGAGAACAAAGGGCGACGGAGAAAGATTCGTAACTAACAGCGCCGACTCATAATTTGCTAGCTGTGACGCGGAGCGTGCGGCGGACGCTGGTTCCTGCGTGGCTGGCTGGAGCCTAATTAATAAGAGGGCACGGTGATGGAGTTTGGAAAGTTTCTTGGTGGGCAGACATTTGGAGGAGGCAGCATTAGAGGATGTTGAAGGATGCTGAGGGGAGAGAGAGAGGGAGGGAGAGGGAGAGAGAGGGGAGTAAAGGGGTGAGGGGGCCAGGATTAGCCGTTCTGCTCTGGAGGCCTTCTGTATCACAGCCCACGGTGTTCTCTCCTCTCTTCCTCCTCCTTCGTTTCCTTCTTTCCTCCAACTCCAATTTTTAATGAGACCAACAATTAGTCCAATTCAGTAAAAAAGAAAAAACTGGAACGATCAAATCATGGGCTAACGTCGCTGACAAGTCGCTCAACTTCAAAGCTCTTCTTCCTCCATTGATTTGGTCTAAAAATATATAAATACTTAGAATAGAAACTGAACTTTTCTAATCCTAACTGTCACTTGAACAAATGTTGTTCTTTTGGTAAATCGACACGATCCTTGATGCAGATCAGACTCTGTACCAGGACTGTCGTAGCTAACGTTAGCTCTGGTGTCTGCACCGGGACTGTCGTAGCTAGCGTTAGCTCTGGTGTCTGTACCAGGACTGTCGTAGCTAGCGTTAGCTAACTCCCAGCTCTAATCCTTAGCCCTCGTGTTATTATTTGTAATAACTTTTTCTGCCCTCCTGCCCTCCACCTCAGCGGTGTCTAGTAAAGACCTATTAACATAATCACTTCAATTTCACAGAAATGGAAAACAGTGGGAAACGAGTGCGACGGCGTTCTCCGCCCTGTGAGCTGTTATTAGCCGTGTTTCCTGTTCAGAGCGTCGCGTGTTTTGTTGATTAACAATTATTAGGTGAATAAAAGCAGGAGGAGACGTCCTGGGGTGACGGGGCTTTTTACACCCGGGGCTGAAGTCAAATGGTATTTTGTATTTTGTTTCTTCCGGTTTGTTTTTGCATTTGAAGGATTAGAACCGAACCCCCTTCAGAGAACGAAATGGAAATGTGTTTATGAGTAAAGAAAGTAAAGTTTTAAAACAAACCACGACGACTTGACTTCTCTGTCATTCAGGGGTGATACGTGAGTGGACTGATATCTACTGTTACTGTCCAATAAGATGAAGTATATTTGATGACCTGTGTGTGTGTGTACTAACCTCCAGCTTTGCTGCCCCTCCCTCTCTCGGTGCTGGACCCGTCCAGGAGGCTCATGTCAGACATCTTGACTCCAGATCGAGCCTCTGCGATCAGCTGCCTGGCTCGCTCTCTCAGCTGCCTTCGCCGCTCGGCGTCGCGCTCCTGCACAGACGCAGAGACACAAGTAATGAAGTCCAGGAGCAGAAGAACGACAATCGACATCACACATCAACCAGAGAGAAAAAAAAAATTAAAATGGTTGTATATTATACTTTAAAAAGTCCTGAGTATTTGTTGGTTGTTACTTAGAAACATCTGAAGTTTAAAGACCAAATCATTATGTAATGTTTTTTTTTTTTACAGAACAGTCATTAGTCAAGTAATTAGTTAGTTGTTCAGTTAATGAAGCAGAACTATTGTGTGACAGACAACTAGTTGTTTGGGTTTTTTTTTCGGTTTTTTTTTAATGGAAATGTCTTCTGATCAACTTGTTTGTGGACGTGAACAAAACCGTTTGATTGTTTGATGTTGACGATGTTAAAGAATCATTTTTACTGTCACTTCTTGACAAAACAGTTGAAATTGATTAGTGAAACTGAACGTCAAATTCATTCATTTACATCGACATATCGATGCAGAACTGGAGTCAGAGACAGACTTCAAATAAACAACAGTACGAAAAAGGACAAGTGAGAAAGATCGAGTCTCCAAACTGAAAATGTTTCTGACTTTAAAAAAAAACAAAAAACTCCACGTCTGATCAGAGCTCAGACTTTACTAAGATCCAAAAAGTGATACGAAGAAAATGAAGCTGAAACCTAAACTCTGGAAACGCCACCTTTCAACCCTGCGCTCACACACTTCTCCCAAATAATCCACACACACACACACACACACACCCTGGGGAGGGAGCGTGAGGCTGCATTTCTCCTCCTCCTCCTCCTCCTCCTCCCTGTGGTTCTCTGTTAATCAGCCTCCTCCATATTGCAGCGGCCTCGACTGAAGCCGCTCCACATTTATCCATTAACAAAACAAGCAGCGGCGGCTAATGAGCTACATCTCTCCATTTCCATGTCAATTGTTTGCTTGTAGCCATTGTTAGGCCGAGACAATGGGCTTGTTTTGTAAATGACAGCAACTCTAATGCACTTTGTCTCTGCAAGTGTGTGTGTGTGTGTGTGTGAGAGAGAGAGAGAGAGAGAGAGAACCCAAGGGGATGCCCACAGGGGAGAGGAACACACCTTAGATAGAAACTGGTGGAGAGAGGGAGAGAGAGAGAGAGAGAGAGATAAGACTTGGACTGATAAAAGTTGAGGAGGAGGAGGAGGAGGAAGAGGAAGAAGAGGAGGAGTAAAAACCAGCTTGAAATAAAAAGCAACTTTTTCTCTCAACATTTTTCCTGTAAACAAATAAAAACAAACAAACCTGATGATCTGTGTTTTGACAAAAGTTATTACCAAATATTAACGACATGAGTAGAAAAAAAAAAAAAAAAAAATATATCAAGAACGGGTTCTTCAGGAGGACTGACCGGTTCAACTATATCCACTAACTTCTAGAAGTATCTGCGGACGTCGGCTGCTCCTC